TCCCTGTGGTAACTGCCACCAACAGTAAATATAAAAAACTTCATGCAATGAAACCAGAAGTACCAGCTACAACTGCATCCAATTTAACAAACAGAGAATGATGGTCAGTACACAGAAAACGTGGACTGACTTTGATATTCAAGTAGACCCAGCTCCTTTCTCCCCCGAGATTCTAAAGTATATCCTGGGATTGTAGTATTTTCTCCCTAAAAAATACTTTGTTCCCATGCCACCATATGAAGAAACATGTCAACAATGAAAAGCAGAGAAAATCCACACACTATTCCCACTGATTTCTAATCTTTTCCAAATATTGCTACAGTAAGTTGCTACCCTGTTATACTTCACATTAACATGAATTGTGTCAGATTAATGTAATTTTCATGTTATTTCAAATCTAAGCTCACAAAAGTTGCAATGACTCCCATGGCTCAATTCAGATCTGAAGCCTCCCACATGTCCTTACCAAACACACGGCCTGGAGTGCCAGCAACAACATGCTGCCCATAATCCAGCTTTCGGATATCTTCACCCACATTGGTCCCTCCGATGCAGGCGTGACACTGGACATTCATGTAGTCTCCCAGAGCAAGAAGACCCTGTGTTGATACAGAGGAATGGCTTAAATAACTGATCTCCCATGAAGTCTGTATTTGTGAAGGGATGCAGGTCTGCCAGACAGTGGGTTTTAAAAGAGATGTAAGCACAAGCAGTTAGGATTTTTTATGTTTGTTACCCAAACCTCCTCAAAAGCAGGTTCCCAACCTATGGGAACTCAGTTCCCTGGGGGCTCACAACTGCTCTAAAAGTGCTGTCCTTCAAAAGCAGCAGCTTTGAGCTCTGCTGGGGAACACCTGAGGGTCAGCCTCAAGCCTTGCAAGTGCTTTACAGATGGTGATTTAAATGCTCCTACCTTCTGAATCTGTACAGCCAGCTCCCGAGTTGGTGCCAAGATCAATGCCTGGGTCTCACGAACCTGATTAAAACAAGTGATCACAGAGCAGTTAATCACAGGGCAGATATCTTATGTGCAAGAGAGACTACGGACCCATAGTGCTCTGAAATGTCAAACTGGAATGATTAACTGGAATTTTGTCATAAAACCTAGTGTTTGCAAGGATCAGTACTCCTAAGAAGCTGCTCACAAAGAGAACACTTACACAGTAATAGCCTCTTAGTGAAGTTACTTTTGACAAGACTTATGCAGTGCTTTGAGAGCTATTTTCCATTCCTACCTGATTTCTGAAAACAACTATACAAGTGTGTATTATTGCAAAAAGAGAGATACAAATTTAAATCACTTTAATTTTGTACGTTCAGATCAGATAAAATCTTTGCATTGCACATGGACAGTCTCATGCTTGAAAAATATTATAAGCACTTTACAGTAATTAAGCAAAAAGATCAACTTTTAAATTAGAACATGCAACATCTATTTTATATCCCAGGCACTAAGGGGTGAATAACAATCTAAGCCTTATTTAAGAGGGCCCACAGAAATCATCATTTTATTCAACAGCATGTACACATTTAAGTTGTAATTAAAAAGCAATTGCATGGACATGACACTCCCAACTATAACAAAAGCAAGCATTTGTCAAGCCAGAAATCCAGGTTTGATGCTGTGCAATGTGTACCAATTGTTCAGACAGGTTGCTGATGCTGTTAGGATCATTTGAGGACAGTTCTGTCTGCTGGGAGACTAATTTAGCCCTCTAATATGTGAAAGAGATCAGCTGTTATAGCCAACTTTGTAACTGCAAGATTTTATCAGGACAGATTTTGCACTGTTAAACAGCATGGGTTTAATAGTGAAATTGTTCAGAATCTGCTGAAATTTTCAGCCAGAAGTTTGTCTGAGGTTCACTGCCCATAATTAAAAGATTTCAATGTGAAATTTCATTTATATACTTTAAAAAAATAAGGCTTTTCTGAAGAAGATTCTAGCAATTTAGTTTAAAATACCTTTTACCACATGTTATGAGAGTACCTGTATATCCAGGCATTGCAGAACAGAGATGGAGAATGTTGCCGTCTTCCCTGTTCCTGACTGTGACCTGAGAAACAGATGCTTGGTGAACACTCTGGAAGTCTGGATAAACAATTCAGGCAATTTCAACACATTCCACCCCTCTGCTCTTTGCCACTTGTTCACTGCAAAGAAGTCTATATTGCCAACACTCTATCTGACAAAGGTATCATAGAATCGAATAATGGTTTGGGTTGGAAAGGACCTTTAAGATCATTTGGTTCCAACTCCCTGCCATGGGCAGGGACACCTTCAACTAGACCAGGCTGGTCCAAAGTTCCAGGAATGGGGCATCCACAGCTTCCTGGGCAACCTTTTCCAGTACCTCATGACCTTCACAGTAAAGAATTTAATCCCAGTATCTCATAAACCTCCTCTCTGTCAGTCTAAAGCCATTCCCTCTCATCATGTCAGTACATGTCCTTGTCAAAAGCCCCTCTCCACGTTTCTTGTCGGCCTCTTTAGGCACTGGAAGCTGCTCTAAGGTCTCCACGGAGCCTTCTCTTCTACAGGCTGAACAAGCCCAGCTCTCTCAGCCTGTCTCCACTGCAGAGGTTATGGTCACAGCATGATGTGCAGACAAGCAGCTTTGACAACTACAGTATCAGAGACAGAGCACTGTGTTGCAGGGTCCTCAGCTTCTGCATCTCTACTCCTTATCAGACCAACACTTAAAATTCCTACAATTCATCATTCTTTTTTTCTTTTAAGGTATATGATCGATAAGCCAGTACAATTTGGAAGGTCAGCAATTCCCTCTAGTGACCTAGAAAGATTTCTTTTTCAGTGGGATACACATCCTTCTTTATTTCTAAAAACATAATAGGTTTTCTTCTGCTTACTTTTTTCCTTGAGACTGCAGTTATCTCTCTTCCTCCCTGCCTTTGCTAGAAAACATTCCCAAGAGTTTCAGAGCCCTACTGTTTGAGAACACATGGTTCTCAACACATCCTAACTGAACTTTTATTATCTAAACATAAGTAACATTAGCAACTGTTTGGATCACTGTGCTACGTGCATGCTAGCCACTTTCACCCCGTTTGATCATGATGTGACTTCCCTAATCCTGCCATGCAGCAGCATGAGACCATGACCAATATCTGAATGGGGCCTACAAGGATGCCAGAGAGGGACTCTTTATCAGGGACAACAGCAATAGGACAAGGAGTAACAGATTCAAACTTAAACAGGTGACACTGAGGTTAGATATAAGAAAGAAATCCTTCACTATGGGAGTTGTGAGGCCCTGGCACAGGCTGCCCTGATAAGTGGTAAATTCCTCATCCCTGGCACTGTTCAAGGCCAGGCTGGACAGGGCTCAGAGCAACCTGGTCTACTAGAAGGTGTCCCTGTCTGTGACATGGGGTTGGAACTGGATGAGCTTTAAGGTCCCTTCCAACCCAAACCAGACTGTGATTCTATGAGTGACAGACCTTGCTTCTAGCTTAAAGGTGAGTGCCCCCGCCCCGAGCTCGCAGCTTCCTCACGGCCCACGCCCCCCCCGCCGGCAGCCCCACTTACTGGGCGATCACGTCTCTGCCCTTGATGATCTGTTTGATGGCTCTTTGCTGGATGGCCGAGGGCTTCTCAAAACCTGCGGAATCGGAAGTTACCATCAGCGGGACAGTCCCGGAACCGAGCGATCGGCGGCCTCACCGCGCAGGCGCCCTGCCCGACATCCGGGTGCCGGCCCCCCCGACAGGCCTCGGCACCTCTCAAGCCACATGCCCCCCTTTCCCCCTTCCCTCCGCCCCTGGTCGCCGCCGCCCAGCCACACACCGTAGGCGTAGATGCCCCGCAGCAGGTCCTCCCGCAGGCCCATGGTGTCGAAGGTGGGCGTCACGTCCACCTCCTCGCTCGTCTCGAACTCCACCTTCGTCATGTCCTCCTCCTTCATCAGCCGCTTCCGCGCCGAGCCGGTCGTGCCGCCGGACCCCGCTGACCCCGACATGGCTGAGGGCTGCCCTCTCCCGCCTCACGCACACCCAATGGCGCCGCCGCCGAACACCGACAGGCCACAGGGCATGCGCGGAGGGTCTGTGGCTGGGCGGGGGTATGAGGTGTGCGCATGCGCTTAGGGGAGAGGGCGGGAAGACTGCACGCTGCTCGCGCATGCGCGGGGCGAGATCAGCGCGGCGCGAGATCAGCGCGTGCGCAAAGGTCAGGGTTGGCGCATGCGCGGAGCGAGATCAGAGCGTGCGCAAAGGTGAGGATTGGCGCATGCGCGGGGGTCGGTGAGTGGGGGGCGTGCGGCGGGGTCGTGAGGTGGGTTTAGACCGGGTGCAGTGGCGGCTCCTGCGCTTGGGTCACAAGAACTCCGTGTACTGCTACGGGGTCGGGGAGGAGCGGCTGGGAAGCTGCTCTTGGAAAGCGAGCTGGGGGTGCCGATTGACGGAGCTGAACATGAGCAGCTTGTATCATTTCATCCTGGCCTGTATCTGCAGTAGTGTGGCCAGCAGGGCCAGGGCAATGATCATCCTCCTGTACTGGGCACTGGTGAGGCCGCAGCTGAAATCCTGTGTTCAGTTCTGGGTCCCTCACTACATGAGAGACATTGAGGTGCTGGAGCAGGGCCAGAGAAGGGCAGTGGGGTTGGTGAAGGGTCTGGAGCACAAATGTGATGGCGAACAGCTGAGGGACCTGGGGGTGTTTAGTCTGGAGAACAGAAGGCTCAGGGGGGACCTTGTTGCTTTCTGCAACTACCTGAAAAGAGGATGGAGAGAAGAGGTGACTGGTGTGTCTTCTCTCAGGTAACAAGCGACAGGACAAGAGGAACAGCCTCAAGGTGCACCAGGGGAGGTTTAGATTGGGTAATAGGAAAAATTTTTCTCAGAAAAGGTGCTCAGGCATTGGAACAGGCTACTCAGGGCAGTGGTGGAATCATCATCCCTGAAAGTGTTCAAAAACTGCAGATGAGGCACTCATTGACATGGTTTAGTGGTGGCCTTGGCAGTGCTAGGGTAACGGTTGGACTAATGATCTTAAAGGCCTTTTCCAACCCAGTTGATTTTATGGTTCTATGATCTATGACTCTGGAATGTGCTGTGGGTTGGCTGTCATCACCCTGCAAGCCAGGTCAGCTCCATACAGGGTCCTGAGCAAAACTGTTAAAAAAAACCCGAAAAATTAAAAAAAAAAATTGTTTCATGTTCTTTTGGCTAAATACTTTGAGGTAAGAGTTCTCTGAAGACAGGTTTCTTCAAGCCTAGTATGAAATCAGTGCCCTTGGGAGATGTCACCAATTCTGTATTGGCTTCCTGGGTTCTGCTTTTCAGTTCCGCTTGGCTGAATCTCATTTACCTTTGAAGCTGATCTCAGCCCGAATTTATCTTCTGGAGCAAACAGAATGTTGTCTGGCAATCCCAATCTGACAGTTTTCACAAGACCTTCTCATGTTCCATGTTGGGCTTTCTTGTGGATACTGAGTTTTCATTGCTTAGCAGGGAGATAAAAGCACATGGTCTGTGCCTGCCAAACTGTTCCCTATGGCTGCTTTAAAGGCAGCTCAGGATATCTTCCTGGCAGCTTGGGGTTGTTTCTAGAGCATTTTCTAGTACTGATGGGGTTCCTTTCAGTATCCAAAGCTGTCAGTTTTTCTCTACCAGTTTTGCCCCACTGACTTACCTCTGCTACTTTCTTCCTCAGAGGAGAATACACAGGGAAACAGTGCATCCTTCTAGCATCAGCACTAGGTTTGCAAAGCCTGATCTTATTCCAATGTGAGCCCTGGAAGAACTTAGAGGAGATCCTCAAGGTCTCTGGTGCTGTCTTGGTGGGTGAACTGAGCAGCAAGGTCTTTCAGCAAACAGGCAGACAGGGTGGATGAAGCACTTCCAGTCTGGTTTGTGATGGGGTGGCAGGATTTGGCCACCCTAGGGCTGGGGAAAATCGGGGGTAAATGTGATCTAAGCCTGTCTGTGAGATGGGAGGGAGATCTCTGAAAGACTGGAGGGTGGTGAAATGGTGTAACAAAAGAAGTCCTCTTGCACTGTTAGAGGGAGAGAGTGATTTCAGGCTGTGCTGTCCTTGCAGAGGCTGAGTAGCACGTGGAGGAGCAGGTGAGCCTGGCAGAGCTGCCTGCAGCGTTGGACAACACACTCATGGTTTCCAGGAGTGGGCTTCAGTGTGCAGCTCTCATGTCCTACAGATACAAACTGCAATGCCTCAAGTAAGGGTGTTACTCCCTGTAAAAACAGGCCTTCTCTGGGGTGCCTGAGATGTTTCTTAATGCACTGCTCACCATGCCTGCAGGATCCAGGTGAGGCAGGTTGCCAGGGAGAGGGACAAGGCGAGGCTGGACTTGCAGAAAGCGGAGAGACGCTGCCTGCGGCTTGGCAGGGAGCTGGATAAGCAGTACGTTGCTCTCGAGCACACCCAGAGCAAGCTCAGGTAGGAGGGGTCCTTTTGGTGGAGCAGTGAAAATGTTTTCTTGTTCCTTGCAGCCTCTCCCTCCCTTCTCTTTATGAATCTCCCAATTGTTTTGCCATTGTGTCAGCGACAGAGAAAGAAGTCCCTGAAGCCCCATACCGTCTACTGAGGGGGGGTGTCTGGACCTTGTGGCCGTCTGAGATCACACTCCAGGTGCCCCAGCCTTGTTGCTTTTTCCCCCCAGGGATTTTCAAGCAGAAACAGAGGCAAAAGACCTGCTTTTGCAGCAAGCAGTCAGTCACCAAGCAAAGCTGGAGGCTGATACACAGCTCTTCCGGGGCACAGAGGCCAGCTGGCAAGGGAGACTGAACCACACCATGAAGGTAAGTAGAATGGCCCTGGTGAAACATCTTCACTTCTTCAGAGGAGGCAGAGCAGAGGTGCTGATAAAGATGAATCGTTTGTGTTGCTCTTGCTGGGAAGGAAGAAGTTTTATGCAGAAACATCATCAGACACATCCATACTATTGATTTAAATACAGAACTTTTTCCCTTCCCATGACATTATTAAACACCCATGTTGTCTGTCAGGAGTGGTTTGGCCCTTGCCAACACCTGAACACCTGGTGGCTGAGGCTAAAATTGTGCCAGGGACCATGCCAAAAGCGAATGGGATACTGTCCATGTGCCTGGCATTTTCCCAGTGCTGTTCAATGTACAAGTACAGATGGAGACAGCTCAGAACTTGTTGCCTTTGTTGGCTGTGGGGAAAGCATAGTTTTGTGAAGTAGAGGTGGAGATGAGCCTGTGGGGCTGTAAGCTCTTACTCTGCAAAACCCACTCCTATGTCTGTCTTTTGGAGATAAACCAAACATCAGCCCATGTGGTGTGTGTCAGCAGCATGCTGGCTGAAGCAGGATCTCTTGGGAGCTGTGCTGTGTTTTACATCCCAATTGTTTTACAGCTTCCTCATGAAGTCCCGTGGCTGGTGAACCCTTCCTGCAATGTGAGGACCCACAATATCCCAAAAATCTTCTCCCTTTTGTCTGCAGGAGAACATAGAGCTGCAAAACAAGGTCACGGAGATGACTGAGAAACTGGCAGCCTCTGAGAAGCTGATGTTGGAGTTGCAGAAACAACTAAACTTTGTTGTGAAAGACAAGGTAACCTTTCTTTCCCTATTGCAGTTAAATAGGAACTTTAGAGGAACTCATCAAAAGATTGGCCTTTATCTGTGAAAACTTGTGTATTTTGGGTCAGTTGTTATGGTCTTCCCATCTTCAAACTCTCCTGCACATTAATGGCAAGTGGGAAAGAAAAAATACTGACTTTTAACTTAGGCCTTTTGAAGCTTGAAAAAAAAAAGAAAAAGGATTAGCAAAGTTTGCAATTGCAGAAAATTCTACTAATCTGCAGTCTTCAAATGAAGGACTTCAGAGTTTGGGTTCCAGAAAAGAAAATATTTCTTTTTCACAAGTATTGATGTAAGTGGTTACTTTTAGTGTCTTCCACTCCAGAAAGGCACCTGGTAAAATGGATCTGGGGAGAGAAATGCATCTATGATCTTGTTAGGCAGTTTGGGAAGGCTGGCTGCCTGCAGTTTGGTATCTCATATCTTTCTGCATCTAACCCGTCCCACAGGTGTCCATATGAACCCCTCCACTGAATCTATGTAGGGTGTAGCACTGTGAGCTTATGGCTCTCCAGTTGGAGAGGTGTTCATTCCCTTGATGATGTTTCCCTGTGCTTGTGCAGCTGGGCCAGGTGGGGTCCCACAGTCCAGAGCTCCTGAACCAGAGTGAGTGCTTCGCAGAGATTGTCCTGGAGTACGAGCAACAATGCCAGGTACAGATGGGCAGCTCTCCAGCGGAGCTGTTGTTGAAAGCACAGCTCCCATCAGCACGTCCCTTGGCTTGGGGGAGAGGAAGGAGGCAGCTCTGATCAGAGTGCAGAGGGGTGATACCTCCTGTTTTGCACAGAGTCCTTTGCCAGGAGGCAGGACACAGCAGTGCCCCCAGTAAAGCAGCCTGTCTCCTTCTCCTGCAGCCCTCCGTGGGGTATGGAGGTATACCTTCCTGGTATACTGGCAGGGGGAAGTAGGGCTGGATTGTAAATTCTTCCTTTCCTGCTATGCTGTAGCCACAGGCTTATTGTTTGGGAACAGTGTAGCTCTGTGTATGAGGACAGACCACCATGGGCTCTTGCATTTCTTCTCAAATGCAAGGAGAAAGCTGTTCTCCCTCTGTGGAAAGCATGTTGTCAGCTAAATTCTATCTTTTTGTTTTTCCCTTCTTCCCTTCGGCCCACATTTTAACAACCCCCACAAAAATTGTTGCTGCTGGGCTCTGCTAGAGAGTCAAGGTGAGCTTGTCCTGAGCACACACCTGGTGTATGTGTGTGGCCCAGGCATTGGTGTTGTGTGTATTGTACTTTATGCAGGGTGCTGTGCCCCTGCCCAGAGCTTTGGGCTTTTGGGGAAGTCAGCACCGCCTCCATTTCCCTTCTCTTCTCTTCTGTATCTTGCATGTTTTGAGTTGCTGGATGCTCTGTGCCTCGACTCCTGAGTCCTGTGCTCATTGCACTGCCCGTGTTTCCAAGTCCTGTGTGTGACTGGGGAGCACCACTGATTAGAGACGACGAGTTACCAAATCCCCCCAGCAGGGGCAGAAATCTGCAGTTTCAGCGAAGCCATTTCATGGGTGCAGCAGACTCTTGAAGCTGTAATTAAAGGCAAACATGCTGGAGCACTACCCAGTGCAACATTGCTCCAGGTGGCACCAGAGGGTTGAAGATGCTCTGTGCTGCAATTTTTCCTCCCATTGAGCAGCCCCAGAGTTGCCTGTGAGAATGCTGATGGAGGAAAAGATTTATCCTTGTTGGATGCTGTTAGCCCCCCTCCTCCTCTGCTCTCCTGTTTAAACAAGCTGGGTTTGCATTTGTCTAGATCTGCTCAATAATATTTATTAATGGGGATCTTTGGAAGTATCGTAGTTCAGTCTCCATCATTTTCCTGGGTGGCAGCATATGGGATATAATTTGACGTCTGCTCAAAGTGGAACATTCAGAGCCTGGAAATGTTCCCTTCCTGAGCCCTGTTCGACTTGTCTTACTGCAAATACTGCTCTTGCTTTGTCTGCATACAGTAATGCTTGTTGGCTAGCCCAGATACCCACAGGAATGTCTTGAGAATGTAGCACAAACCTCTGGTCTATGTAAGGGGTTATACTGAGATCATGGTGTTTCTTGTGTGTTGTTCACTAGCACTGGTTGTGTTTAGATGAGGAGGGGTCTCAGGAGGTTCAGCCTTCTGAGGTGTCTGCAGAAACCCATGGTTTTGTGTGATTTTGCATGCAGGGGCATTTGCTTGTGGCTCTTCGTGCTTTACATTGTGTAATGATGGTAGTCACAATCATATGGGCTTGTATTTTTTTTCTGTCTTTTCAAAAATCTCTCATTTCTGCCTGTTGGGGGAGGAAGAAAATTCTTCTGCCTAATTCTGACTGTGCTGGTGAGGGGACTATGCACTTCATGCTGCAAGATCCTCTGAGTACACATGGCTGTTGGAAGTCATGGGTGCTCAGCCCCCTGCAGCCCTGGGGAGCTTTGTAGCTGCATCAGTCTCTGCTTCAGGTGCTGTGGGACCAGAATGGATTGCTGCGAAGGGAGCTGGAAAGGCTGTATCTCCAACTACAGGAGAGCAGGGCTGAGAGAGGGCTGCCAGCAGGAGGTAAAATGGAGGAGGGTTTGATGCCTCTCCATCTTCTCAGCAAGGACAAGGTCCTCTCCACATTGGAGTTTCCATGGGTGTGTGTGGTGGTTTGTTCTGCCTGAGCTGCTGCTGCCAGTTCTCGTATTGGGCAGCCATGGGAGGGAAGAAGGGGATAATGGGTGGTGAGGAGGAGGCAGATCAGGGAAAGGAGACTCTTCCATCTCGAAGGCTGGTGATGGTGACCTGTGGACTAGGCAGCTGGGAGTGAACAGGAAGATTTTCACTGTGATGAATGTTGAAGAAACACAGTATGATGAAGAGGAAGTAGCCCCACGCTGTGGGTTGTGAGGTTAGGTTGAGCATTAGGAAAAAACCTTCTGGCCCAAAGGGTCAGCAGGCAGCCCTGAGACTGGTTGCCAGGTAGATGGGAGATCTCTGTCTTTTGGGGTTGTATGAGCTTGACTAGATGAAGTTGCATCCATCCTGATCAGGACAGCCTGTCTTGTCTTGTAGGCCTGTCCTCACAGGACTCCTCTCCTGTGTGCCACCATCCCAGCCCTCTGCATCCCACTTCTGTGTGCACAGAGACATCACTCTCAGTGGAGCAGCTCCAAGAGCAGATGCGGGACCTGAAGGTGCAGCTGGAAATGAAGGTGAGGGGAGTGGGGGGAAATTTCCTGACTTCTTGGCACAACTGCTTGGCAAGCACCCTGCTACAGCTTGGCTGATGGGGTGTCTGCTGGAGATTTCAGGCTGGGGAGCAGACTGGTACCTTGTCTCTCTGCTGGGAGCATGTGCTTCTCTTAGCTGGTAGGAGGATTTGAAGCCCTCACTGGCTGGCAAAGGCTTTGTGGAAATCTCTGTCATCCTGCAAAATACTTGTGTGGGTCTTGCTCTTTATGGGGAGCCAGAGATTACTCAGTGTTGGTGTCACAGTAAAACCAGTGGCAGGACTAAGATGTGAAGCAGATGGGTGTCTCCTGGGAGCATGGCGGGTATTAGAGCCCTGTCTCCCTGGGCTTGCAGCACACTTTTAACCAGCTTGCCTAAGTTGACAGTGTGAGCCCAGCCACACTGGGTTCTAGACAGCAGTGAGCGCTCATGTGAGAGGCCTGTTTCCACTTTCACTCCTGCTTTTGCTGCTGAACTGGGAGGTCAGGGATGCTTGCTGGGTTTCCACTGCAGCACTACAAGAGTGAATCCTAGACTGCCACAGGTGATGCAGAGTTCAAGGCACACAAAGCTGTTTGCAGATCTGCCCGCTTTGTAGTCCTGCCTTTGTGCTGATCAGATCCTGGAGTTTCCAGCATGTACAGGGAAGCCTTGGGGAGTAGCAGCTACACATCTTGACAAGGAACCACTCTGGGGGGTGGAGGAGGAATATGAGGAGCAGAGGCAGATGATGCCCTCATGTCTCCCTTCTCCTCTCTGTGGTCCCTTGCAGAAAAAGGAGAAGGGAGAAGGTTGTTGGGAAAAGCCAGGGACCACCAATATCTGCTTATTAGAGGCTGCTGTGTGAGACTTGGTTATTGCTCTACGTTCAGTAGGGCCTAGAACTGCCTGAAGAGTGTCCCCTGTTGAGAGGGATCAAGAGATTAATCTGAGCAGAGCTATTGGAGGAGAGGGGAGCTCTCAGGATTACGGTGCTAATACCCAAATCCTGTCTTCTCCCAACAGATAAACTATTACGAGGAGAAAATCAAGTTAATGAGGAAAAACTTTGAGAGTGAGAAGAAGGACAGTGAGGAAAGCTTCAGGACTGAGATACGCAAGATGGAAGACCAGAAAAGAGACCTGGAAGAAACAGTTGCAAAGTACTGGGCTGTAATTGATCACCTGAAAGAGAAAAAATGTGTGTGCAGCGTGGAGCTGGAGGAGAGGTTTGAGGTGGAGCAGTCCAGGGTGGGACAGCAGCACACTGAAGACATTTACCATCCAGGGCAGCAGCTGGACCAGGAGGGAGGAGAGCTGAGGACGTGGCGCAGGGACAGAGAGAGCCTGAGGTCTGGTATTGATCTCTTTCTCTGGCTAAGAGGGAGACTAGAAGTGCATCCCCTGCTCATACCAGAGTAGGTTGGGCTGATTCCTCCTGGGGATGGATAACTGCTTTAATTTGGAAGAAAATTTGGACAGTATTGCAGGGCTGCAGCTGTTTGAAATGCGGTGTCTGAACTCACCTTAAGTGAATGTATGATATTTCAAGACTTAAGTTTCCCTGCATGTTCCACAAGCTTGCGTCAGAGGCAGTGCCCACCAAAGATTGTACCTCAAAACAGTGGGAGGAGTGAGAGCTTTCATCAGCGTTTTCTTAGTATTTCTTCTCTTTCTTGGTCCTTCAGCAAACTTGCACCTACTTGCTAGATCATCGCAACTGGCTGTCTTTAAAGCAGCAAAAAATAGCTTAAATTTCTCTTTATAGCAAAACAGACTGCCTTGTGGGAGTGTAAGGTTGTCACTAAATGGCTGTTCATCTTTCTCTTCTTGTGCTTTTGGTGCTAGTTCTGCAAACTCCCCAGGGAGCCAGGATGGCCTTGCAGAGGAGACTGAAGGAGAATTGGACAGGAAACTTCCCTGTCCATGCCTGCCCCCTCTTGCTTCCCAGCACACCCCACCACTACCCTTAGGCTTTCCTCATGTCTCTTCGCTGGTGTACGTCCCTTCAGGAGCAGAGTCCCCTTTGGCAATCACCAAGCAGAGGGTTTTACTAAGTCATTATCCCTGTTTTAGGGATGAGGAGCTGAGATACGGGGTAGGTGTGGGAGAAAGGAGGTGACTTCACTGAAGGTTGTGTCAGACCAGGGGAACAAACCCAAATAACAGGAATACAAGGCATTTGAGCTGTGTTACCACCATCTCTGCTGACTGGTGGAGGGACTGGCTGTAGTAGGGAGCTTTCAGAGTTGTTGGAAAACATCTGATGGATGAGTGAGAAGTGTAGAACTTCTCAAAGTGGTGTGGGAACTTTCTGTAATGTTTAAGTAATTGCCTTGACTTTGCAACCTAAAGAAAACTTCTCATTGCTTCTCCAGCAAAAGTATGTTCTGAAGCTGGCTGAGCTCTTCAAGCTGTGTTATCAAATCCAGGTCAGCAAAACGGCTTTTATGTTTTGGAAAGATGCAGAGGTTGAGCATGATCAAGAGCTGTTATGGAGTGTATGGCTGTGTAACAACAGCTGTAAGGCTCTGTAGCAGCAGCATTGGTGTGAGAGGTGATTTCCCAATGATAAAGGCTGCAAGGCTAGGACCTCAGGAGCCCAGGAGAGGCAGCAATGGAAGCGAAAGGAAAAGGACATGGTCTCTGTGGAAGAAGAGGCAGCTAAAATTGGAAGAGAAGGTTAATGAGGAGCAAGTTAAGATGTGTGAGATGCTGGCTGCTGAGAAGAAAAAGAGAAAAAAAGCACCGAGATGAAATCAGAATAATGCAGCGATCATGGGGCTCACGGCTCAGGTACTTGAAGGGACAAGGTGTCTGGAGGGCTGCCCTCTGGGGAAAAAGGAGTGCATCCCCAAGGCTCAGATGAGCAGGTGGACCAAAGTCTGCTGCCTGTTGCAACTTTAGCACCAAAGGAACAGGAAAGAAATAAAAAACACTGTGATGGATGGAGCAGTGCGGACATCTGTTGCAGTGAATGGCCTGCTCAATCTAGAAGCTGGAGCCAAAGCAGAAAGCTTTTGTCAAGGAGAAATGAAATCTTGATAGACAAGGGAATGTGCTTGGGAAGGAGGCAGAGAGAGCAAAGTTAAATGTCTGCCTTCACACAGCATACAAAAGCAGTATGTTAGGACATAGACTTGATCTGAAGGGCAACAAGAGGGAAAACAGCCCTGCGAGGCAGAGTGGCACAGCAGCATAGAAAGAAACATGACATTCAGGCTGTCAAAATTGAGCTGAAAAAGGAAAGGAAAGGGGTGAAACTGGAGCTGATGTAGCTGAAACATGTGCACTGCTTGGAAAATGACCCAGAGCTCAAGAGAGTAGCAGGTTTGCAGAACTGTGCTGCTGCTGAAGAAAAGCAGATGCCTTGTGAAACGTGAAGCTGCTTAACAACATGATTGTCCAAAGACACTCTTAACAGCAGCTGTGTTCTCTCTTGACACTCTCTAGCAGCAGCTATGTTCTTGCTGTCCCCCGCATGCCTTTTACTAACCACGGGAGTGTGGTCAGAGAGCTGGGATGTGATAGCGTGGCTGTAGCTGGCTGTGCATTTGTCTCCTCTGCCTTGTACTGCTGTCTGTGGGTTGCTGGAGCTGCCACGGGAAGCACAGCATGTGAATCCTGATGTGAAACTGACTTTTAAAGCAGCTGCTGTGAGGAGCACCCTGCCAAGCAGGGGGAGCAAGCAGCTCACAGTCTGTGTGCTCCCTCTTGTACAAGAGAGGAAGAACTTCCCCATTCAGCTCCTCTGCTTCACACATAGAATCATAGAATAGTTAGGGTTGGAAAGGACCTTAAGATCATCAAGTTCCAACCCCCCTGCCATGGGCAGGGACACCTCACACTAAACCATGTCACCCAAGGCTTTGTCCAACCTGGCCTTGAATGCTGCCAGGGATGGAGCATTCACAGCCTGTCTGGGCAACCCATTCCCATGCCTCACCACCCTAACAGGAAAGAATTTCTTCCTTTTATCCAATCTAAACTTCCCCTGTTTAAGTTTGAACCCATTACCCCTTGTCCTGTCACTACAGTAACACTACAGTAACTACATGCAACCCCACAAACTGCAGTGCTGTCCACGATGGGCAGTCCATTCTCCTGCACTTTTCCCTGCGGAATTTGGGTCCTGTATGGGGTTTAGCAGTAGCTGTTAGATATGACTGTCTGATTGACACAGGACTGAGCTTCCTACCCACAAGTTCCAGTATTCATGGCCTCATGAGAGACTGGGATACCAGTAGGGATGGAAGGATAAGGAGGCACAGAGGCTGCCTTGGCTTTGGGGTCATAGCTGTTACATCCAGCAGTGTAAAATCACAAAGGCTGCATAAGCAAGCTGACTTATCCAGATGTGGCTTTGTTGCAGTTGAATGGTTGGACTTAACCACCTGGTTATCCTTAGTGAAGTCTTGGTGTGTCTTAATGAGCCAGATCTCTTAGTTTCTACTTGGCAGGCCTGCAAAATAATTTCAGTCACCTGGAAGCCAAACAAATTGAGGGTCTGATGCTTTTTGTCCTTATTCACATTTATTTCCCTTTTCTTGAAGACCTACTCCTTCTCTGCCAGTCTCTTGATGGTCCTCACATTTTGCATGAGTTATTGGATGGTTGTTTCTCAGGTTTCTTTAGTTTCTGCTGTCCTTGCAAGTCAAATGGGGATGGAGCAGGGAGCCAGTGTAGAATGCCAAGATCAAACTGGGCTTTTGCATGGTGTTCTCACACTGCTGTCTCTCCCTGCAGGGAAGAGCTGTGCCAGCTGCTGGAGGAGAACAGTGTGCTGAAAAGTCAGCTTGGGAGACTTCAGCAAGAGCTGAGGCTGGCAAAGGAGAAGGGCAGCGAACACAATGGGTAAGAGAGGAGCCAGCTGTAGGAAGCTGCAAATGGGCGGAGAGCTGATGCACATAAAAGGAACAGCCACTCAGGTGCATTTACCAGATTTCAGATGACTTGTTCCTGCCTTTTGTTTTCTTGTTTCTGAGCAAGCCAGCACTCTCACACCCTTTGCTCACTTAAAAGCAGCCAGCCAGTGCTGGGACAGGCTTGAGGAGGTCAGAGCACAGGAACCAGAGCTGGGTTTGGGGAAGGCTGTGGGGATAGGTATGCTGATGGAGGAAACTATGGGCTTCTTCACTACACAAGCATGTTGGCCTGCTGCTGCCTTAGGAAGCTTGAGGTAGGTACTAAGGTCACCCACTGAACCATAAATCCAAGGAGAGCCATGTTTCTGGTGTGGATAGTCACAAGACTTGGCTAAGATGGCTCTCCTACTGTTCTTCATCCCCTGATTTTTAGGTCTCCGAGAGTGCTGCAGGACTTTGGGTGTCCCCAGCTGTCTGCCCTGGGTTGGGCTGACTGACCTGTTGGAGCAGAGACACCTGACCCACTGATGAATCAGTTCAGGACCATATTTGTTATGGCCTGTCTTTGCTTCCTCTTGCAAACCAAAACCAGACATGTGGCTCCCCAGAACGAGGCCCTTCCCTGGGGGGACATGGTTTCCTTCTTTCTGGCTTGAAGCTCATAATTTTCCTCTCCCTGACAGGAAGCACAGGAGTGAGTTGGGCAGAGAGAAGTTGGAGGAACTGGCTGAAATACCAGAGTTAACAGCGTTGGTAAGAAGCCGTTAACACTGACAGGCTCTTGGCTGAGGGATTTAGGAGGACAAAGCCTAAATGTGCTTATAGAGAATGGGAATGTTTGTTTCAAAGGTTCAAACCCAGTCTTGCTTTGAAAAGCCAACTTCATTTTATAGCTTGTCAAGTAGAGACAATTTGGGTGACAAAATCCAGTGAAGGTCTTACAGAAGGTGTTACTACAAAATCTTTAATGAGGTTCTCTTTACCTACTTGCACTCTTCCTCCTAGAGGTTTTGCTCACTCCCAGCCGCAAACATGCATGCTAACAAGCCCTTGGACATGTGTGCACACAAGCCCTGGCCAGGATTCCTTGTGTGTAACATGGACAAGGGTTGCAGGCTGTTCATTCCTCATCCCATTCCTCATGCCTGAGAACCACAACCTGTTTTTTGGACATGTCTTGTACTCTCTGGGGCCTTCAGCTGCAACAGTGTGGCTTTTGCTGGCCCTTGCTGGTTACATCTTCTATTAATTATCAGCCACAAGCCTACTGCCTGTTGTTTGATTTTTCTCCTTTGGGGCAATGCTCTCTGGGTTGCCTGTTTTCCTGGGATGCTAGCAGAGGAATGGGGTGTAGGGTGTGTTGCTGCCCTGCTGTTAGATGCAGATTTTCTCCTGACATGTTACCTGTGCAGTGGTCTGGTCAGAGCATGAGGCAGAAACAGCACGTTGCTCAGCATTACCGCTAGGGATAGTGTCCTAGGAGCAATGTCTAAGGAGTGGATACCCTTTAGTGTTGATGCACACTTCTCTTGTAACCCTCACTCTGCTCCTTCATCTGGTACTTTCACACATGCACGTGTCCATTTATACTGTATTGTTTCCAGTCTAAGTATTTCTATTTTACATCATGAAATCACAGAATGATTTGGGTTGGAAGGGACCTTAAAGGTCATTTTAGTTCCAACACCCTGCCGCAGGCAGGGACACCTTCTGCTAGACCTGTCACTATCCCCCTTGTAAAAGGTCCCTCTCCAGATTTCTTGTTGGCCCCTTTAGGCACTAGAAGCTGCTCGGAGCCTTCTCTTCTCCAGGTTGAACAAGCCCAACTCTCAGCCAGTTTCTGTATCAGAGGTGCTCCAGCCCGTGGAGCATCTCTGTGGCCTCCTCTGGACTTGCTTGAGGAGGTCCACGTCTCTCTTGTGCTGTTACCCACAGAGCTGGATGCAGCACTGCAGGGGGGGGGTCTCACAAGAGCAGAGTAGAGGGGGAGTATCCCTTGTCCTCAGTGACATCCCCCAGTGACTTCCTCCAGAGCTTCCATCCGTTGAGGAATTTCTCACCTTGAATGTTGTGCTGCTTTGGCCAGGCTGGGAAATGAGGACTCTTGTCCTGAGTGTCCACAAAGCCTTGCAGCAACAGCTGTGTTCCTGAGTGGAAACCCAGTGGGGAGAGTATGGCACAGGTTAAGTCTCTGCTGCCTCTCACCCCACCCCAACCCTCTGTGCATGAATTGGTTTCTTTTTCCTCAATCTTTTCCAGAGTGAGAAGAGCAGCAGGGAGATCTCCCACCTGAATGTAAGGATGTGTCGACTGGGCTGTGAAGTCACTGAACACCAGGCTGGCCATGGTGTTCAGTGCCCTGACACCATCCCATTGTGGAGCCAGAGGCTTGCAGAGGCTGAGCGGCTACGAGACGCAGAGATGGCTGCAAGGCTGGAGCACCACCAGCAGCATGCAGCATGTTGGATGGAGATGGAGCTGCTTCAACAGCAGCTCAAGGCCTCGCAAGAGAAGGTGACTGTCATTCAGTTGGTGACAGGGTGGCTGCTGAGCTGTCCTTGTGATGTTGGTATTGTCCATCTCAGGACTGTATTGGACACCTTCCCTAGCAGAAAAGAGGGTCCTCTTCCTTTCTGTGGGGGACAAAGGACTCACCCTCCCACTCAGATATGTCTGAAGCAAGTTCAGGTGCAGCTTGGGATAAGTCCTTACTTGCAGCTAACCTTGTTTCCTCTGTCCTTGTCCTGTGCAGGCTGGCTGGGCAGAGGAGATGGAGGCTGAGTGAAGGTGGCTCATTTGGGAGTGCCAGGAGCTGTGGTTTCCCCATGGCTCGGCTGACAGAGGAACGAGAGGGGTGGCAGGATCAGGCAGGGATGACAGGGCCAGGCAGGCCATGTCTGAGGTGGGGGAAGTCACAGCAGGCAAACAAGGACCACTAGGACAGAGGAAAGCCAATGTGAGAAACCTCAAAATGTATTAATATCCCTCTCCTGCTTTCTACCCTGGGAAAAGGCTCAGGGACTGGCTTTCCAGAGTACAGCTTATGCCAGCCACTCCTAGAGCAAAGGTGGACCAAACTTGCTTCCCCTTTTGCTAGTGGCAGGAAGCAGAGGGCATGATGTACAGGCAGCGATTGAAGCCCAGCTTGCCTGTGATATATCTAAGAACAAATGCAAGCGAGCAGCCCCCTCTGCTTCCTGCCATTGCAGCACTTGAAGCTAGGACTCCCTCCCAGAGGATCCCACCAGTAACTCCTGCTTCTTGCTGCTCAGCAAGGGGAGCATCCTTCAGCAAGGGGTGTCTGTTTCTCCTGCAGCTCTCAGTGCTCTCCATTCTGGCTTTGTAGGCTTGCCCAGCACACACCACTTCCACAGTCCTGCTGCTCTGCTGTGGCCATGTTGGCATGAGAGCCAAGTGGAGGCTGAGGGTGCTTCCCAACCTCTCCCTCACCTTCAGCACACCCTGTGCCTGTCCCATTGCTGGCAAAAGTCTGTAATCGGCTATTGGCCTTTCTGTGTTGCAGCTTTTAGAAGCCAAAGCAAGCCTGAGCCTGGCCCAGACTCGGCATGCTCTGCAGTTGAAGCAGGTCAAAGCCCAGATGAACAACATGGTGCCAAGGAAACATTTTGAGGAGCTGCAAACCAGCTTGAGAGCAGAGCAATGCAAGGCTCAGCAGCTCCAGGAAAACCTCCACCGGCAGGCTGAGCAGACATGCAGGCAGCTGCTCAGGACTCAGGTAAGCAGGGAATTGCGGGAACTCAGTCAAGGGTAATAGGGTGGGAGCACTCCCAGCCTGGAAGCCACCAGAGGTTTGGGTATATCAAAGCCTATGTGGAAAATGCACTTTATCTTCAACGTGCATCTGCAGTTTTCATTCTTCATGAATGTAGTCACAGCCCTGCACTCAAACAGGAACCCTCCCCTCTCTAATCCACCTACCCCAGGCTAGGTACCTTGTGCTTGAGGAGCAGGAGTTACCAGGCAGACACTCTGTTGACTCAAGCTGGGGAAAGTTTGAGCCCTGTATGTGGAGATGTAGCCTGCATATAGTGCTGTGGTTTTGTCTCAAGAGCACTGGGCAACAAGGTGTTGGGGTTTTGTGAGTTTGTGTTTTGTTTCAGGACAGTGTAATTCAATTGCACTAACCTGAGCAAAGGGAGGAAATTGTAACCTAAGAAATTAAAATGAGCAGACACAAAAACTGTATCCAAGGAAACTATGTCTCTTCTTCGGCTTTTCTGGACATGACCCAGTGATCCCCTCATGCTCTTCTTCAGAGTGTGAGGATCTCTGAGCAGGGCCCTGGGGAAATGGATAGTCCTGGATTGCCTGGGAACAACCCATTAGTCTTTGTTGCCTGCTGCAGGAGGAACATGAGCGTCAGCTGCAGGCAGCTATGGATCAGGCAGAGGCACTGGAGCACAACCTCAGGAGTACTGAAGCTGTGCTGGCAGAGAGAGCAGCTCAGCTTAAAGATGCCCAGGTAAGTGGAAGAGGGGTTAGCACTGCGTGTTCCTGCCTGGCTGGGACCCCAGCATGGGGACGGTGAACCTTTAGCCTTCTGTCCTTGCTGTAGTCCCAACTCTCCAGGAACAACCTGCTGATTGAAGAACTCTGTGAAGAGAACAGGGGGGTTGCAATGGCCCTGCAGGCAGCTGAGCTGAAGCAGAAGAGTACTGAGGAGAAGAACCAGCTGTTGGAGGAGCAAGCCTCAGCTCTGAAGCAGGTCATTGGAAAAATCACACCAGCATCTTTGAGTGGGTGATAGGGCACGTGCTGTGGCAGCCTTGCCCCTGGTCCTGGCCAGGGTTTGTCAGGTATGGAAAAGATATGTCTAGGTTGGGAAATAAGCCTTTTCCTCTCTGGTCTTGCCAGGATTTTCCTGGGTAGAAAGTAGAAAATGAAGAAACCAGACAGAGTCATTTAAAGAAATTGATCCTGTGGATGGCTGAATTTTCCTACTGAAAGCAGCAGCGTTTGTGCCTTTCTCAGTGGCAGTGTGCTGTTGTAACTCAGGTCTGCCTAAGGGCAGCCATCCCACAGGAGCTGCCTGCGCTCTGCCAGCAGGTTGAGTGGTGGTGCAAAAGCTCTCTCTCTATGGAAGGCTGCTGTTGGGGCCATGCTGTTGCAGCTGAAAAGCCAGGGCAGGAAAGCTTGCAAGTTCTTGCATTTGGCTTTCTCCAAACAGGAAATCTGGATTGTGGCATTAAAATGTCTGCAGTATTGCAGTACCTCCTGCCATCTCCATCTGCTCTGTATTTCAGCTGTTGTTAAACTTTTATTCCCTACAGCTTCTCTTGGGCTTTAGGAAACTCTGGCCCTCCTAAAGCCTGAGCCTACGATCAAAACCAACCTGATGCCAGATTGTTGCCTCTGCGGTGAACAGATCAGAAGGGCTGAGGGAAAAGCCTTCTTTCATTTTGAACCTTCAAGGCTTGGGGCAGGGCTGGTGACCCATCATCAGGAGCACTGCCCTCCTTCAAAGGATACCAGAAGACATGGTAAGTGAACTGCATCATCTTGCCTTCTTTGTTGGCCCTCACACACTGGCAGTGAGCACTGCTCTTGCCAAAATAAGTTGTATAAAAGGTCACAAAGTCAAGCATTCACATTAGCAAATGCCCAAATTTTTTATCTGCCCATAGTGTTGCCCTCTGGATCATTGTCACCAGTGCCCTGCCTTGCTCTGTGCAGAGCAGAGGGTATTTACACGGGTGCTGTGGTTGCCACTAGCTGTGAAAGGACTCCCAGGGTTTTGGGGACTATGGAGACCACTGTACAAGACAGACTACACAAGCCTGTCTGGATCAGGGTAGCAAAGCTGGACAAAGTTAATACAAAGAAGAGGGCTTAAAAATAGCTTAAGCTGTTGCTGGTAGTTCAAGAATAAAAAGGGACAAATAGGCTGAGCTGAAACTCAGCCACTGCTTTTAAGTCCCAGCGTGCCAGGGCAGAGGGGTTCCCAGGCCCTGGGACAGTAACAGGAGGTGGGTGGAGGCTGACTAAGGCTTCCTTGATCTAAGACTGTTTTTTCTCCCTGGTGGATGAATGCTGAGACTCGAGTCTTACCTAGGGCTTATGTTTTTGGAAGTGTTACCTCTCAGCCACTACTCAAGAGCGAACAGCTCCATTAGGAACACCAGGGAGAGCGGTTCTTTAGCCTTGCTCTGACTTTGTGCTAAGTAAAAGCCTTATAATCCTCTCCCTTATCCATCCCTACTCCAAATAATCCCTATACCCTGCCAGATTGTGCTCTGGAGAATGTGATTCTTCCCAGAGGAACACAAGCACAGCCCAGGTGTGCTGGGTGAAACCATGGTGAGGCCCATGACCCAAACTGCAGCCAGTGCTCATTCACTCAGCACCTTAAGAAACATTTATAGGCTTTTGGTGAGAGTCAAGGCTTCATGTGTATCTTAGAAAGAAGCTTATGCAGCCTCATCTGACACTTGGAAGAGCAGCTGCACTGAGACACCTAAATAACCAGTTAAGCATCAACCTGCAAGGTCCAGATGGGTTGGGCCAGAGAACCAGGTCAGAGTGTTTAAACAAACAATGTTAACTCTTGAAAAACACTCAACTGAAGATGAAGCCATTTTTATTTTGCAATCTTGGAGCTGTCCTGCCTTCTGGAGCCCACCTGGTTGGTGTCTTACATGCACAGTGTGAACAAAGAACTGCTCTAGACAAAAATGCATTCATAAAACCTGCTTGTAGCTGAGGGCCTTGGATAGACTCCCCTCAGCCCCCAGTGCCACCCCCACTGTGCTGGATTCCCAGGATGGTTACACCACCAGGATGCACTGTGGTCAAGAAGAGCCAGCCAGTGTGGTTTGCATACTTTATAAACTCGGGGCTGATCTTCGTGTCAGGTATCGAAGAGGAGTCGCAGGGTGTGCACTGCAGAAATGGAAAGGTATCTGAAGTCCTGCACATACCAGAGTTGAGTTCCCACTGTGGGCAAGCAAAGGTTGTCCCTTCTGTCCTGCATGCTTATGAAAGAACATGCTCAAGGACTCCTTGTCTGATTAACTGCTCACATTTCCAGCGGGGTAAGAAGTGCTGCATGGAAACACAGACAGACTTTTCTTGCAACCCAGGCAGAGTGGATCTGTCACTGCACACAACCAGCTCTGTTGTGCTGTGTGCTCACTGCATTGTGGTACCAGATCAGAGCTGGGCCACACAGACAGCTTGCAGCATGTGCAAGGAGACATGCTGTGAAGCTGGGGTAAGCAGGGGGATGTCATGGGAGTGAAAGGGAAGGAAGAGAAAGGACCACACACTCTTGACATGGGTACCTGGCTATTCTTCTTCAACAGGATCGTGGTACCGTCATCGATCTCAAACTCTCCATAGTCTTTTAAACACCGCACCTACAAAGCAGAAATGCAGCTCTCGGATCATCAGATCTCCCACAGAAAACACCAGGCATCACTGCTGACTTAAAACACATGCCCCAGAACTGTAAGTATGGACACATTCCTATCTGCCTGCTGGATCCTCAACATGGAGCAGATCTGGAAATGCACAACTGGACTGATTCCATGCTCTATAGACTCTACCTGATGTTCTCTTCCTGCCTCTGCCTGGATCAAGAAGCACCAGCGCGCCCAGTCCTCCAGAGACTAGAGGAAGAGCAGCAAGAGACACAATGTAGGAAGCAGCAGCATTTCCAGGACTTCTCCACACACATACCAGAAAAACTGTGAAACTCTTAAGGAGCAGGTTTATAGCCACTACATCTTCTTTTGAAGAGAACATCAGAGTAGAGCACTTCAGCTACTGACTTTGATGTTTCACATGCTCTTGCTTTGTTCTATCAATTGTATAAAAAGATTTATAGTTTCGTTTGTCAAAGTCCATTTAAAATAACAAAGAAAACCAATTAACATTCCTTAGCATGGGAACAAGGTTTCTAGTTGATGTAGATTTGGTTAAGTTTCTGCAAAATGCCACAAACCTTCTCATCGGGATTCAGACCACTCGCCTTATCACACAAATTCCCTTCAGACTAGAAATGCTATCTTTCAACAGACTTTGAGCCCTCAGTAGAAGAGGGAGTAAAACGCTGACAGGCAGAATGTAAAGAGTAAATGTAGAAGCTTGTGGAAGCTTTGGTGCTCTTGAAGGCTTTGCTCAATAACATGGCTTGGGATGGGGGTGAAATTCTCTAAAAAACAATAGTTGGGCAAAAAGTTTGTTCACAAACAAAAAACACTTGCACTTACTTCTATGTACAGGCTTTTAGGAGGTTTTATGTCCTGTGTAAGGTCCAGCCCCTCCTCTCCTCCTACTGACTTCATGTAGGTAGCCAGAGACTTTTTGTACCGATTGAACCATTCCACCTGCATATATTGACATTGATTCCTCAGGCAAAGCTGAACAGCTAATGCTGAAAGAGAGGTCCCCAGTGAGTGATACCTAGTTTATCTGTGCTGTCAGACCACTGTTCCAGAGCATGTTTGTACCAGCCAAAGGTGAATGCAAGCTTTTCTAAAGGGAAAGACTGCCACGGAGAGCAATCTGGATTCAGGACACATTCTGCTAATGTTAGCATCTTTGTACATTGGTCTAGAGATGGCATTTGAGAGCAGCATGGGAAAACTTAAGTTCTGCTGGCTTCGAGTTTGATCTTCCACCTGATCCTTGAAAGTGCCAAGCATTACCTGCACTTGGTATCTGTCTGGGGTTGTACCCGTAGACAATGAATAAACATATTGTTGTTTACAGGAAGACATGTTAAGTGTCACATTTATAGTGGGGGAATTGTACCTTATTTTGATTCTACTAAATAGATAATCCATCAGGAGGAGTAAGGAAGGAGAGGAAGAATTTAAGACAAGGCTGACTCACTTCCTCTGCTGACATGTGAAACTGGATGGCATTTGGCAGGACACTGCCATACTCCCACCTCAGTGCGCGGATCCGCAGCAACCGGTCGTACCTGGGGGAAGAAACAAGGGGCAAGCCCAGCATCTTTGCTGAGGCAAACTTTGGCAATATCCCGAGGCAACAAAGCAGAGAGCAAAACCTTAGGTCATTCCACCCACCTTCCTTTAAAAGATGCGATTTTGGACCTATCCAGTAATTAAAGCGTTTAAAGAGCAGGAATAAACAGGGCCAGCGTCTGATGGTACCAACAATGTGCACTGGGAGAGCCAATCCCGCAGCTGCCCTGCTACCGCATCCTGCATGGGAACCGCTCGCCAGAGCCGAGCGTCCCAATACCCAGTGCTCCGAGACCTTGTCTCCTCTCAGTGGGTAAGAAGCGACGCTCTGTGACCCCGAAGGCCCGCCGTAGCCCCCCGTGTTCCGCGCCGCACTCACAGGTAGGCCAGGATGCAGCGCTGGTTCCGGAGCAGGCAGCAGTGCCGAA